GGAGGGAGGGAGGAGGAGAAGGAGGAAGCGGAGGAAGAGGGAGGGGCGGAGGAGACTGTAGAGAAGGAGGAAGAGGAGGAGGAGGAAGAGGAGGAAGAGGAGGAGGAGGAGGAGACTGTAGAGAAGGAGGAGGAGGAGCAGAACCAGCAGAGGACGGGAAGGAGGGAGGATTCTGGGATTCTAGGTGTTGGCCTCGCGCGCGCCCGCGTGAGGGCACGAGGTCCAGGTGGAGGGAAAAACAGGGAGCCACCAACAACGTCGGCGACGGCGGGCGAGGCGAGGCGGCGACGGCGGCTATACGAGCGACCGACGAGCGACGAGACGCCCGCAGCGACGCGAACGGCGACGGCGGCGGCGGCGGCGAGGCAGCTGCTGCTCGCGCGCGGCGGGTGCGGGGAGGCGCCCGGGGCGCGCCGGGAGGAGAAGGGAGGAGGAGGAGGAGGAGGAGGAGGAGAAGGAGGAGGAGGAGGAGGAGAAGCAGCAGCAGCAGCAGGACCAGCAGAAGACGGGAAGAAGCAGAGGTCAGACGGAGAGGGAGGCCTCGCATCAACCTCCCTCCCACCTGCTCCTCGTGAGGCAACAGGAAAGGGACGAGGAGGATATGGGGCAAGGAGGAGGGCAAGCAAGCCGGCGGAAAGTGGGGCGACCCGCCGCCGCAGTCGACCTGGACCCACCGCGCGGGCTCCGACGAGGCCCAGCCCCGCACACAGCAAAGCACGGAAAACATCCCTGACAGTCGGCTACACGCAAGAGTGGCCCTAGGCAAGAGTAACCGTTGGTGCTCTACGACGAAACCAGGACGAGGATAACATCGGGTGAGGATAAATCGAGAATATCTGAGATCTGGCGGCTCTGGCGGATGTCTCGGGCACCGCAACCTCCTTAGAGCGTTCTGGAATGCTTTGAAAGAGTTCCAGAAAGCTCTGGAACGGATTTGTCCTCGTCCGAGCCCCGTCCGATGCTCTCCCCACGGGGACCGCGTGAGGGCCAAATCCAAGCACGCAGACCAACGCTGGCGCAGTCCACGCGGGCCCACACCAAAACTCTCATGCGCAGCCGAAACGGGTGGCCCGTTCCTACCTCGTCGAGTCGAGCCGGTGAGCTGATTGGCCTCCCCGCCCCCGGCGGAGGCCAGTGGAATGCGACGACGGCAGGGTGAGGGTATAAGTGGGATGAGGATAGATCGGATGCGTAGAGGATGGGTCGGGGATCTCTGAGAGTCAGTGAGTCTGGAGAAAAGATCGGCTGATGGGTCGCCGCGGCCGTTTCAGAACGCTCCAGGGCGCTTCGAGAGCGTTCCAGGACGCTCTGGAGCGACTCATGCTCACCCTAAGCCCCTGCCTGGGGAGAGGCCAGCGGAAACCGCCAGAAACAGAACACCCGATTCCGCCAGCGAGATTCCGGCGGACGCTGGCGAAAGCAGAGGCTGCCGTCCCACCAGAAGTCCGGGCCAGCGCAGGCGTAACCGTTGGGTCCGGAGCAGGCCGAATCATGCCCTGAGAGGTCTGCGTGCGGGGATGTCTGGTGAGCATGCTCCTCGGTCACCGAGCTTCGCGCCCCGCGCCCCCCGCGGGGCGCGACGAGCACAAGTAGTGCCCTCCCGCCCTCGCGCCCCCGCGCCGCCCCCCCCTGGGAGCTGGCCCAGAACCGCGCCGTGGGAAGCGCGAGTTTCTTGGCGCCAGCGCGGGCGCCCCGCATGCTCTCGGGCCGGAGGGAGGGACGCTGGGAGAAGCGGGGAACGCCGGAGCGAGGAGCGAGGAAGCGAGGAGCGAGGAGGGAAGGAGCGAGGAGACTCTTTCCGCGCGCGGCTCACAAGGCGGCAGAGCTCCTCCTCCTCTTCCTCCTCACTCACGGCTGCCTCCTGCAACCTTTACAGCTGTCACGACCCACACTGGATCGCTGCGGCCAGGATCTGGCGAGATGTCGACCGAGAGCACGTCCTGCCAACCGCCCGCGGGGTTGAAGTGGAAGTAGTTGCCAACGATCTCGCAGTGGCCAGGCCCGTCGTTCATATCGGCGACCCACATGGCTATCGCCTTGGTGGGAAAACAGCGGTTACTGAACGAGATGATGGCCAGGCCGCCAGGCTTGGTCACCCGGTGCATCTCCTGGAAGACCTCCCTGGTAGACAAGCGCGTTCCACTACTCGCAAATGGCCTGGCTCCGCCGCAGGGGATCGACGCTCCATTACATCGAGGCAAGCCTGTCTTCCCCTGACGGCTGCGAGTAGGCACTTTGCGAGCAGTGGAACGCGTCCCGTGACCTGGGCTTGTTGAGGTAGTCCACGCTGACCACGTTGGTGACGAAGTCAAACTCCTCGCTCCCGAACGGCAGCCGGGGCTCCACGTTCAGGTCTGCCACCACGTGCTCCGTGGCCTGCCTGTTCGCGGCCAGCTCCTGCCCGTTGATGCCGGTGACGGCCACCCTCGCGGGCCGGAAGAAGAGCGGGTAGTGGCTGACCCACGAGCTGCACACGTCTAGCACGGCGTACTCGCCCGCGGGCGCCGCGGCGAACTGGCACGCGTAGAACCTCCGGAGGGCGCCGATGGCCCCGTCGTCGATGTGGGTCAGGAAGCGCGGCTGCCGGTAGAAGCCGGTGTCCGCCCGCTCGTCCTGGCGGCGGAAGTCCCCCTCCCCGTACGGCCACTCCGGCGGCCACTCGCGCTCCACGGCCAGGGCCGCGCCCGCGCGGCTGTCCGCGAGCGCGAGGGGTTGGAGGCGGCCTGGGGGGTCTGGGTGGAGCCCCGAGGAGCACCGATCAAGGAGGTGGGTATGTGGGGGGGGGGGGCCAGGGCACATCCGCTCAAGACCGGTCTCTGGACCTCTCCTGGGGCCCATCTGGTGCAGCCTCAAGACCAGTCTCCGGACCCCTCCTAGGGCCCATGTGGTGCAGCCTTTCACCCCGGATCCGTCCTTGACGGCCCCGGGGCCCGAAACCGGCCCCGGGACACCTCAAGAAGGGTCCCGAACCTGCTCGTGAACCCAGAACCTCTCGACCCTCTCCTCTCCCCCCCCTTCCCGCTGGCCGGCCCTCGTGCTGGGCCACCTGAGACCCCCGGCCGACTCCAAGCCAAGGGCACCCACACGCGCCGCCTACCCCAGCCGACCACCTCCGCCCCCCGCCGCGGGCCCCCGCGGGCCTCGGCGGCCTCCCGCGCCCCGCGCTGCGCGGCCCCGTCGTCCGGCGCCAGCTCCAGCGCCCGCGCGTAGCATCCCGCCGCGGCCTCGGGGCGGCACAGCCGCAGCTCCGCCAGCCCGGCCCGCGCGTGGCCCCTCGGCCAGTCTGGCCTCAGCTCCTACAGGATCGGGGAGGCGTAAGACTCGGATTGGGAGGTGGGGGGCTCGGGTTGGCCTGACGGGGCCGTCAAAATCCAGGACGCGCTCATAAAAAAAAACCGTCGGCAAACCCGAGTCCCGGCGCACTCGAGTCTTACGTTTTCCAGATAGGAGGCCTCCCAGATGGGGTCCGAGCAGATGGGGTGGGAGGATCGCGCCGCAGCGCCTCACGCATCAGCGATGCATCGGCGATGCATCGGTGATGCAGCGGCGAGGTCGGCGATGCAGCGGCGACGTTGCGGCGTGGAGAACATCGGGCTCCACATCGAGTCGCCTTGCCGAGGCAGCGGCGACGCGGCGGGACCCCCCGACCCCCATCTGCTCGGACCCCGTGTGGGGGGCCTGGAGCTCCACGCACGCCCGCGCGTCCGCCAGGGCCGCCCCGAACTCCTCCAGCGCGGCCCAGCAGGCCGAGCGGTTGGAGAAGAGCACGTGGCTGGCGGGATCGTGCCCGACGACGCCACCGCCAGGGGGCGCAGCCACGCCAAATGCCCCCCCCCCCCCCCCCCCCCCGGAGTCCCCCGCCCCAGAGCCCCATGGGGAGCCCGTGGGCGTGGGCGGCCGACCCGCCCCACTGGAGGAGGCGGACAGGGCTCCACTCCCACAAACTGCTCCTCGAGGACCCCCCCCTCGCTCTCGTCCTCGCCCCCGCCCTCGCCTTCGCCCTCGCCCTCCTCGCCCTCCACGCCCTCCTCGCCCCCCTCGCCCTCGACCCCTCGCCCTCGCCCTCGCCCTCGCCAACGCCTTCGCCCTCCTCGCCCTCCACGTCCTCGCCCTCCTCGCCCTCCCTCGACCCCTCGCTCTCCTCGCGCTCGTCGCCCTCCTCGCCCCCGCCCCCCTCGCCCTCCCGCCCTCCCTCAGGGCACGACCCCGCGGCGGTGGACGTGGGCACACCCTGGCGGTGGCCATGGCCTCCGTGAAGTGGGCCACCGCCTCCTGGTACTTCTTGGCGCCGAGGGCCGCGTCGCCCCGGGCTTTGGCGGCGGCAGCCGCCTCACGACGACGACGACGACGACGACGACGACGACGACGACGACGACGATTCCGACGACGGCGACGATCACGACGAAGACCTCGACGGCGACGACGAAGACGACGACTACGGCGATCACGACGATCACGACGACGACGACGACGACGACGGCGATCACGACGACGACGACGACGACGACGACGACGGCGACGGCGACGGTCACGACGACGACGACGGCGACGACGACGGCGACAACGACGGCGACGACGGCCGCCTCGTGAGGCAGCTGGCCCGCAGCGCCCGTGGCCATCCCGGAGGGCGGCGGCCCATGGCCCGCGGCCACGGCGGGGCACCGAGCCGGGGAGCCGCGCGTCGGAACGAGCGGCGGCCTGGGAGGAGCAGGCGCCGAGCAGGGGGTCCAGAGTAAGAAGGGTGCAGTCGTTGTCGTCGTCGCCGTCGTAGAAGATGCAGAAGAAGCAGAAGAAGCAGAAGAGGAGGTAGAGAAAGAAGAAAAAGAAGAATAATAACAAGAATAAGACGCACAATCACAAGAAGAACGAGAAGAAGACGAAGAAAAAGGAGCCCGGCGGCCCCGCCAACAAGCAAAAACGCAAGCTTTTACTTCCGCCCGCCGTCCGCCGGCGTTGGCCGCCCGACATGGGTGCGAAGAACATGCGCACAACGCCCGGCGACAAATGTTCCCCCAAACCAACGCCTGCCGCTGTTGGGCAGGCGGCCTTCTGCCTCGAATGGCCAGCGCCCGCGGCTGTGCGGACAGCGAGCCCTGCTCAAAACGAACAGGGCATGCTGCCGGTCTCTGTACCCATTCCTGTCCCTGCGCCGGCTTCCGCTGGCCTTCCGCGGCCACAGGACATGCTGTCGGTCTTTGTACCCATTCCCATCCCTGCGCCGGCTTCCGCTGGCCTTCCGCAGGCCCCCCGCTGGGCAAGAGGTCTCCGTGTCTCCATCCCTCGAAGGCGGGGCCCTCCTCTGGAGCACCCCAGATGGTCGGGAGGAGTCCAGGGGAAGGAGTTTGGAGAGCGGCAGGCGAGGGAGGGGGAGGAGGGAGAGGAGGAGGAGGAGGAGGAGGAGGAGGAGGAGGAGGAGGAGGAGGAGGAGGAGGAGGAGGAGGAGGAGGAGGGGAAGGGGGTGGCGAGGGGAGAGGTCGGGGGAGGGGGTAGGGAGGAGGGGAAGCGGGGGAGGGGAAGGAGAGCGGGGAAGTGGGGGGAAGCGAAAGCGGGGAAGCGGGGAAGGAGAGCGGAAAGGGACAAGGGAGAGCGGGGAAGTGGGGATGGGGAAGGGGGAGAGGAGAAGCGAGGGCGGGGGGGGGGAAGGGGTTGGCGGGGAGGAAGGGGCAGGCGGGGGCGGGTGGGAAGTGGGGCGGGGGAAGGGAGGGAAGGGGAGGGGAGGGGAGGGGGAGTGCGAACTGACACTCGGCCCTGTTTATCGCCACGGCTCATGCCGCCGTCCCAGGCCCGTTGAAGTTCAAACACTGCGCTCCAAACAGTACTCGCTGGATGCGGGTAACTTGGCACATCGCGCTCGCGACGTGATAAGAAAGGCAGCTGATCATGGTCACTGTATACCTGGCGTCGTCGTTGCCGTCGGCCACCAGGTTGTTCCCGGCCCCATATGTATGCCACCGCTGCGCAAAGAACCATGGAATGACCGAACTCCGAGAGGCGGCTGAAAAAGAGGACGTTCTTCTCTATACATCTGGCCGGGATTCGTAGACACACGGTGCGCCACGGGATTAAGGAGAGAGTTCGGGAAAAGAGCGAGGGGAAGGTGGTTGCCATGAGGCGAAGGGAGAGGCAGAGGAGGAGGAGGAGAGGAGGAGGAGGAGGAGGAGGAGGAGGAGGAGGAGGAGGAGGCTGATTCGCACATCTCCAATCCTACGATACAGCTGGGAAAAAACTTGAAGGACACATACGGCCAAAACTCGGGAGAAGGAGGAGAATAACGAGGAAGAGGGGGAGAATAACGAGGACGGCGGAGAGCAGATGGTAGAGGCAGCGGAGGAGGAGCCGCCAGCGCCGTGGCGGGCCCGCGCCTGCGACCCCCTCGCGGGTATAGACCTGACCTTGTCTGGCATCACGGTGACGCCGTGCTCCGTGAGGACCTTCTTGTCCATCACGATGCTGACCGCCTCCCGTGGGCCCGAGCGTGGCTGGGACCGACCCGCGGAGGCCGGCAAGTGAGCAAGAGAGGGACCCAGACGTCCGCCCGCTCCAGAGGTCGCACCTCCCCGGGGCCTCTTCGATGCCTGTGCCCAGGAGGTCTGGACCACCTCCTTGAGCAGGGGCCGACCGTCCCGGCATTCCTATATGAAGGGGCCCTGGGACACACAAATAAATACACACAAATAAAACGATTCCCCATATTTTCCCATATTTTCTGGGTGTTTGTCTTCCCCCCACTTCCCATATTTTCCCATATCTTCCTGGGAGTCGGCGATTAATTGTGACTGTGTGTTTTTTCCCTCCTGACTATAGGCCTACCACGACATGTGCTTAGAACCCGAAAACGCTCTAAGAACAAAAACAGTGTTCTTAGAGCATGAGCCCGCTGTGTTAAAACAAGACAGGCTCAGGCAGAAACGTTCTAAAAACAGGTCGTGCAGACCACAAGAGGTTCTTAGAACAGTCTTTGGTAGGGCCGATAGGAAAAGCCGGGACGCTTCGCCACTGCTCGACCGCCCCAGGGTCAATACTTCGCCCTGGGTCGCTCCTCCACGGCCTCGCGAGGCGCGGCGAAGACCCCCGGAGGCCGACACAGACTGGCCGCTCCCGGGGAAACCAAAGAAGGCAAAGGAGGAGGAGGAGGAGGAGGAGGAGGAGGAGGAGGAGGAGGAGGAGGAGGAGGGGGAGGAGGAGGAGGAGGAGGGGGACGAGGAGGAGGAGGAGGAGGAGGAGGAGGAGGAGGAGGGGAGGAGGAGGGGGACGAGGACGAGGACGAGGACGAGGCGCAGTCTGACCAAGACTTCGAGGCGAGTCCGGCGGTGGCCACGAGCGTCTCCGAGGAGGCCGAACGAGAGGGGAAAGCGGGCGAAGCGTAGCGGCACCGTGGTGCCGGCCCTGAGATCCGACGCTGAAAAAAAATGCAGCATCGCAAGAAATCACGCCCGGAGCGCCAGGCCCCATATTTCTGCGTCATCTTTCGAGCTGGATCGATCTGTGAGGGTCCAGGGGCCGCCCCGAACGGAGCGACGACGCCCGTTGCCACAAAACATGTGCAGCGCCGAGCTCTCAGGAGGTGCCTCTCCCCTCGAGCTCCAGCTCTTCCCGAGCGTCGGCTCTCTGGGCAGGGCGCACCCCTCGCAACCTTCGACCGTGCGCGCGGGGGGGTGCCGAGAGCTCAGGAGGTGCCTTCTCCCTCCCCTCGAGCTCAGGAGGTGCCTTCTCCCTCCCCCGAGCTCCAGTTCCTCCCGAGCGTCGGCTCTCTGGGCAGGCGCACCCCTCGCGCAGCCTCCGAGCGTGCACGCGGCGGCCGCCGGCGGGGCCCCGCTGAGGGGAGGGCCGCGGCGTCGCGGGCGCCCGGCTGCGAAGGCCCCGGCGTTCCGTCGGGCCTGTCCCCCTACAGGGGGATTTCTCGACGAAAAGTAAAAAGATACCCCAAGCATAATCCAAAAATGCTCCCAAAATAGTCTGGGGACTAATTTTTTGTAGGTATGTTTGGACTATTTCTGGTGTATGTGTAGGGTATTTCTTATTGTTCGTCGAAGATCCCCCTGTAGGGGGACACGCCCGACATAACCCTGGCGTCTTCTCGCCCTGGGAGTATCGAGGCCTCCCAAAGGGGGTCCGAGCAAACGGGGTCGGAGGATCGCGCCGCATCGCCGATGCATTGGCGCTGTCTCGGCGCTGCCGGCGACGCATCCACGAAGTCGGCGTGGAAAAAATCGGGCCCCACGTCGAGATGCTTCTTCGATGCATCGGCGATGCGGCGGGATCCTCCGGCCCCATCTACTCGGACGCCATCTGGGAGGCCTAGGGAAGATCACGGCGGAGAATGTGTGCCAATAATGTGCTGGCTGCTGGCCCATCGCGTCCTGCAAAAATCGCGACGTAGGTTTTTGCGTCCCTGTTTTAAACCTCCGGGGGCCCTCACCAGGGCCCCGAGACACCGCCATGGGACAAAGAGAGGCATAAGAATGCTATGTTCTCCTTGGAGGCGCACGTCCGACCCGAACGTATAGTAGACTCATATTGTAGTAGATCGTTTCCCAAGCGGTGTGGCCAGAAAGCGCCCGCCACGAACCGCACGCTGTGAGAGTTCTCGGTGCGCGCGTCGCTCCTGCGGGTTGTGAGCCCCCGCGGGGTCTGCACCTTTGCGGCGCACGCGGGAGCCCTGGCAGTCCAGGCGAGGCACTCTGAAGGCCGCTTTGGGGCGAAACTTCGAGGCGGCCGGGAGGTGCGGGGCCGGGAAGACAGTCGAGCTGGGCACCAGCAAGAAGGTGCGCGACCGTGCGAGACCCCCTGGTGCTCACAGCCTGGGGGGGGCGACGACCCACACACAGAACTAGCACGCTGGGAGGGCCCCGGGACCGCCAAGCAGCTGTGCCCAGGATGGGCGGCCGGTCTGGGGGGGGGGGGGTCCAGGCCTCTGAGAGTCTGGGGGGGGGGGGGGGGGGCACGTCGTGGTGACAAGAAATCTCACGGCGGAGGATGTGCAACGGAGGCCAGTGCACAAGAAGCCTTCCACGAGAAACCCAGTCCCGAGACCCCTGGGCGCCCGTCGATGTTTGGTGTGGGAGCGTCGCGCTGTCCGTCGCGGAACCATCGAAAGCGAAGAAACCCAGGGCACCCTGGAGGCAAGCAGGGTGTTTCTCGGCACGGGCCCCCGCTGCATGGGGAGGCACGCGCAGGATGCCTGTCACAGCAAAGTCGACGCCCGACGGCGGGCACTGGATTCTGGGCTGGTGTGGTGCAGGGGCCCAGGGAGGCACAAACAAATAGACACACGCACTCCAGGATTCCCCCCATGTGTGTCAGACGTTCTGCATGTTCGTCTGCCCCTCCGTGTCCCATCTGTTCCAATCCTTTCCTGGACACCGACGTAGACTCCTGTCCGCTTCATCCTTACACTCCCCTACGGTTACACGATGCTAATACTAGTCACCTCTCTCCCCCGAATATGTCCAGTGAGTGTCCTGAGAATAACCACCCCCTCCGCGTATTGTGTTTTACAAACATGTCGTGCGCGAGCGAGCTTGTCCTACGTGTTTTCTAAATTCGATCGGCTGCGCTCCTACCAAACTGGCGCTCCCGCTGAATCGTCGGTACTAGTTCCGCGTTCTCGATCCTTCCAAAAATGGCGCCCCCGCTGCAGCATAGGCATTGGCCTCGTATGCGCGTTCGCGCTCCTTCTAAATGGTGGTCCCTCTGCCTTGCTGACCTCAACCTGCGCTTGCTTGACCCTGCCGAGTAGTGGTCCCGCTGTGCTGTTCCGCTACAGCCTTGGCCTCGAATCTGCAATCACCGACGCCACCGCTGCCGCCACCGCCGCCGTCTTCGATGTCGCCCTCGTCATCGCCTTCGTCCTCATCGCCGTTGTGTTCCTTTTGATCCTCCTCCTCATCCTCCTCCTCTTCCTCCTCCTCCTCCTGCTCCCTGCCTCCTCCATGTCCTCCTCATTTCTCTCATCAGTGGTTTCCATCCTGCCCCTCTTTCCTCGTTCATCCCCCTCGTCGATGTCCTCGTCGTCGTCCTCCTCCTCCTCCGTCCCATCGTCTTGAAGGAGGTCCTAAGCGAGAGCGCGATTCCTGTATAAAATGCAGGGAAGTCTCAGGCGGGAGCGGGGGTCCTGGCTAAATCGTGAAGAAGTCTCAGGCGGGAGCCGTTGTTGTTGTAACCCGGGGGCCAGGGGCGCAGTTTGAGCATCAAGGCTTTCCCCGTCAAAAAAAGGGTGCGAGCGTCAAGGGGCACACTTTGATTGAGAAAATACAGTATGCACTGGTGAGGGGGATCAACAATACCTATTCTTCAAACATGAGAATTCAACAACAGCGATAGAGTCAACAAAAAACATAACAGCCGCACCACCAACAACAAACAACAACACCAACAACAGCAACGCCGACATCAACAACGACAACAACCACAACAGCAACAACCGTACCAACACCAACATCAACACAAGCAACCACAACATCAGCAACAGCCACAACAACAGCAACGACAACACCAACAGCATCAACAACAACAGCAACACTAACAACAACTGCAACAACAACAGCAGCAGCAGCAACAGCAGCAACAGCAACAACACAACGACCATCACCACCAACACCACCGTCATCATGATCAGCATCATCATGATCATCAGCAGCAGCACCACCACCATCAGCATCATCAATATGATATGTACGATCGGCATCACCAGCAGCAGCATCAGCATGACCATCATAACTACCATCATCAGCAGCATCATGCCTCATCCCTTATCATTATCCCCCTCCGCATCCTCCCCCATCCTCACTCTCCTCCCTTCTTCCTCCCTCCTCCTCTCCTTCCCCTCCTCCACCTGATCCTCCTCCTCCTCCTCCTCCTCCTCCTCCTCCTCATCATCATCATCAGCAGCAGCAGCAGCATCACCATCATGAGCATCATCATCAGCAACATCATCAACATCATCACCATCACCAGCATCCGTATCATCATTACGATTAGCATTAGCATCCTCATCATTGTCTGTAAGCTCGCCATCACCTGTAGCAGCATCAGCATCAGCATAAGCATCATCATCATCATCATCATCATCATCATCATCATCATCCTCATCCGCATCCTCCTCCTCCTCCTCATCATCATCATCAGCAGCAGCATCATCATCATAATCATAATCAGCATCAGTATCAGTAGCAACTGCATCCCTCATCGTCCCTCATCCCTTATCCTTCTCCCACTCCGCATCTTGCTCCTCCTCCTCCTCACTCTCCTCCCTCATCCCTATTATCTCCTTATCTCTCTCCTCCTCCTCCTCCTCCTCCTCCTCCTCCTCCTCCTCCTCCTCCTCCTCCTCCTCCTCCTCCTCCTCCTCCTCCTCCTCCTCCTCCTCCCTCCGTGGCCATCATTCGACAAGCGGCCCCGCAGCAAAGGGCCATGTGGCGCAGGCCAGCCTCGGCGCACCCGTTGTGGATGACGACCTGCCTGTGGCTGGTGTGCCCGAGGGGCAAGTGCCCGAAGTCGCAGATGTAGTGCGCCGCCGTGACCGCAGGGGCCTCCTCGCTCGATGCGCGCGGGGGCGGGCCGGGAGGAGGCCCCGGCGCCGCCGCGCTCCGGATCCCAAGGGATGAGGGGGCGTTGAGGGCGGAGAGGGAGGCGGGGAAGGAGGAGGCGGGGGGGGGGGAGGGGGAGGAGAGGAGGAGGAGGAGGAGGGGGAGGAGGAGGAGGAGGAGGAGGAGGAGGAGGAGGAGGAGGAGGAGGAGGAGGGGAGGGGGAGGAGGAGAAGGAGGAGGAGGAGGAGGAGGAGGAGGAGGAGAAGGAAGAGGAGGAGGAGGAGGAGGAGGACGACGACGACGACGGGGGAGTAGGAACAGGCCTGCGGTCAACAGAGCAACACTCTGATGCGTTGCCAACCGCAGCGAACCCTCCTGCCCAGCCGCAGACACCCCTGCGAGCCCTCAGAGCTGAGCCGACCGGGCCGCAGACACCCCCCTGCGAGCCCTCAGAGCCCAGAGAGAGGCGCCTCCCCAAGGCCACCGACGCCCCAACCCCGCCCCCCCCCCCCCCCACACCCCCCCCCCCCAGCGGGCCGCCGCCGGCCCTCGCCGCCCGCCGCCGCCACCCGCCGCTCGCCGCCACCGCCGCTAGTCGGCCATCGGCCGTTGGCCTTCGGCCGTGCGTCGAGCGGCCTCGAAGAAGAACAACAAGACAGACAGAAACGCAAGCCTAAATTTTCGGGGGGCCGCGCGGATTTCTCGGATCGGCGTTTGTGCCCCCCCTCCCCTGGCGCTCGGAGCGCGCCCGGGGCCCAGCCCCGATCCGAGAAATCCGCGCGGGCCCCGGAAAGAGAATGTTGATGCCTCGATATCAGGGATGTGTTCACAACGTGGCTCTACAGAGGTGTGGACCCCTTTCTGTGGACTCGTGTCTCGGCCTGGGCCATTGTTTGTCAGGCGAAGGTCCCCGCAGGCTGAATTCCACCAGCCCTCTGGTCGTGGGTGGTTTGACGAGTTGTGTCTCTCCAAAATCCCTCCGTCCCCTGCTAGGGGGAGGGGTTATCATTGTTCCCTACTCGTATACACCCCCTCCCCCAGGCGACCGGCAGCCAAACAGGAACGATGCCGACTCGATGGTCACCCCCCCAACCATCCGTGTCAAAAAACGATACAAACACACACACACACACACACATACTCTGATCCAAGCTCGGAGCATGCGCAACCAGCCCGATGCGGCTCCCATCGCACCAGCCCTGTCAAAAACAATACAGAGTACACTTTGCGGCAAAGTCTTGAGTCATGTTCGTGAGGCCCGCGAGCTCAGCAGATTGCCTGCTGTGCGCAGGACCACCATCCCCGTCAAGAGACAATACATAATGACGACAAATGCACCTCGCGGCTAAATCTGGATCATGCGCCGCCACCCCGAGATCACTGCCAAGTGGTTTTTGTCAGGGACGGCGGGGGAATGGGCATGTGGCCTGCTGGGCGCAGGCCCGCCAGACACAATGATGGGCATTGGATTTCGACAAGGATGGTGGGGGCCGACATGTTTCCCGATGTGTGCTGTCACGTGCGCAGGCACACCTGACACACTCTGCACGTGCCCCGAACGTGGCGCACCTGGCCCGCCTGAAGTATGCGGCACACCTGGCGCACGTGGAGCACGTGGCGCATCTGGCGCACCAGGCGTGCCTGGCACGCTCGGGCCCCAGGGGTGCCTGGCGCGCGTGGCGAGCCTGGCACGCGTAGCGCACCTCGTCCCAGCGTCGCGCACATGGGGTCTGTTTTGGTTCCCAGTAGCTGCACATCCAAAGACGACCGCTGAACAAGCTGAGGCTCGGGTGTTACAGACGGGTGGGAGAGAGCTAGACGGCTCGCTCTCTAGAAGGGTGTCTGACCCCCCCCTCCCCCCTCCCCTGGGCCTGGGAGGGGGGTCGCGAGGCGTTAGAGCCCCCAAGATCGCCCGAGATGGCTCCAGAAGGGCCTCAGAGACCCCAAGATGGCCTCCAAGATGGCTCAAGATAGCTCAAAATGGCTCAAGACAGCCTCCGACGCACATACAAGAGGCCTCAAGACGGCCCAAAGACGGTTTCAAGTGCCCTCCGAGCCCTCCAAGGACACCCCCACGAGGCAAAAATGGCTCCCAACCCTAAGGAACATTTATGATGATTGCCTTCTCGCCTTTGCGCTTCCGATGGGCATCGGAGGTCTCATGATGGCCCAAAGATGGCCCCAAGAGAGCGCCCCAACACGGCCCCAAGACGCCATGTTTGAGCCTCCGACGGGGGGGGGCTGAATTTACGACCAGGTCCTTTTTAGAACACTGAGCCCAGAATTGCCTCAAGAGGGCCCCTGGACAACCCAAAAGAGCCAAAAGGGCCCCAAGAGTGCCCCAAGTATCTCCGCGAGGACCGCGAGAGAGGCCCAAGATGGCTCCAAGAGGCCTCCGAGAAAGCGCTTCCAAGGCGGTTGGTACACTGCATGTTCCTACACTTCCCTGACCAAGGCCACTCGCCTGGCGATCTGTTTCTGAATGGGCTGGTGGCAGTACACGAAGCGTTAGCTCGGGCATGTCCCCCTGCAGGCGGACGTTGGATGAAAATTCAAAAATATTCAAAAAATGCTCCAAAAAATATGCAAAATTTGTCCAAACATCGTCCCCAGACTAGTTCTTGACTATTCTTGAACATTCTCCCTGTAGAGGAACAGGCCCGACTTCAACGAGGCGTCAAGAAGTTTGTTCACGACGCGAGGTGGCATGGCCTCTGGGCCACGACTCGGGTCCACGGCGGCCGCTCGAGACGACCTGCACACCCCCAGAACGGGCCCTCGGGGAGGCACAGCGGCCGGAGAGCAGCCCGAGGCTGGAAAGTCTCCGGGAGCGTTCGAAGAGCGGCCGAAGCCCTCGAACCTCGAACCTGACTGCCTACAAGACCACCCCAACCCAACCCGAAGACCCGAAGTTAACCCGAATGTCGGGTTGGGCGGGGGTGGTACGGGCTCCATGTGTGTTTTCCATGTTCCCGGGCCCCGACCCGCCCCCACTGGAGATGAGGGGCAAATTGAAGCCTTCGGGTTGGGTTGGGGTGGTTTGGTGGGTGGTGAGAGCCTGCCGGGACCCCCGACGAAGTGACTGTCCCACCCTGCGACTCCCGAAGCCTCCACCCGCTCCCTGGGACAGGCTCTGCATCCCGAGCCGCTCCTCGACGGCACCGGGGCCCGGCGAGGGCCCACACGGGCCCAGGCTTGGCAAAAACCCTCCGGATCTCCGACGACCTCGAACTTCGAACCTGGTGAGCGTTTTTGTCCCAACCCTCCTGGGCTGGGGTTCTCGTTTTGAATAGGGCAGTGTGGTCTCCACCTCCTCCTCCTCTCCTCCCCTCTCCTCCCCTCCTCCCTCTCTCCTGTTTCCTGTGTTCCCCTCTCCTCTTCTCTCGTGCCGTCGGGCTGCGATCTGCGCGACTGTCGCCACTGTCGTGGGCTCCCGGGAGGCCCACCGGAGGTACGTCCCACGCGGACCACC